ATCATTTAATTTATGTCTTATAGGGTTTATACTGAGTACAATATTGTATAACTGTAATAATTCAACTGTAAACCTAAAAATTTACAGCCAAATTTGAAAGAGATGCATCCTACCTCAGGAAAACGTTATTGAATATGTCAATTGTGTTGTAATGATATGCTTCTTCTAGTATGTTGTTATTAAATAAATCATTTTTAAAAATTAAAAAAAAAATTATTTTTATTTTATATGTATGCACATATTGCCTGCATGTAGGTAAGTACACCCATGTCATGCAATGCCCACGGAGGTCAAAAGAGGCTGTTGGATCCCCTGGAACTGGAGTTATGGGCAGTTGTTAGCTGCCATGTGGGTGCTGGGATTTGAACTCGGGTCTTCTGCAAGAACAACCAATATTCTTAACCACTGAGCCATCTCTCCAGCCCCCATATTGTGGATTTTTATCCAGTTAGAATGTCTAAACTTTCATAACAAGAGATAATCGACTGTCAGCTTGTACTATTTAATATATTAATTCCATTTAAAATAGCATATTATTAGGGAAAACTGCTTTTCCCTTTTGTTCTCATCTTTCACAGATATTTTATTGTATTTTTCTTCATGAGTATCTTTGACACTGATGCTCCTCTTATTCCTGGAACCATTGTTTCCAAAGTACCCTATTATCCTAGTCAGCTTTAACTGTCAACTCGACACAACCTAGGGTCACCTGAGAAAGGGATCTCCACTGAGGGATTACCCAGATTAGATTGCCTCAAGGCATGTCTGTGGGGGATTTCCTTCATTGCTAATTGATGTAGGAGGGCCCAGGCCACAGTGGGCAGTGCCATTCCCTGGGCACGTGGTCCTGTGTTATATAAGAAAGCTCACTAAACATGAGCCTGTGAGGGAGCCAGCAAACAATGTTCCTCCAAATTGTCTGTTTCTTGTTTGAGTTCTGTCCTGACTTCCCTCAATAGTGGACCATGACCTGGGCATGTAAGCCAAATAAACTCCTTTCTTGAGTTGCATTTGGTCATGGTATTTGTTGAGCAATAGAATGAAACTAGAACACTCATCTTTGCCTGCATCCCATCAGGAATGCAGTCTTTTGGATTAGTGTACTATTCTGTCACTAGGAGTTTTTTGGTCCTAAGCTATGAGCTCTCACTGAAAATTTGATTTGATTTTTCAATCAGTATTCTGGTGCTGCTCCCCTCCCCCTTACACTTACTTTCTCTTTTGTTGTTGTTTTCTTTTTCTTTCTTTCTCTTTTTTTTATTTTAGTTTTATATTTGTGATTCTTCCTAAGAATTGACTCACTGTTTTGTTTTTTCAAGTGACTTGAGTGTGTGGAAGGAGTGTATGGCATGAGTGAATAGATATGCGCATGTGTGGCCATGCACATAGATGGAGGGCAGAGGTTGACATTGTGTGTCATCCTCTATTGTCTTGACTCATTTTATTTGAGACAGGATCTCCAGCTCACTGGTTTGGTCAGACTGGGTGGCCAGTGAGCTTGATGGATCAGCTTGTCTCTACTCTGGAGTTATAGATGGGCACTGCCATGCCTGGCTATTTTATGTGGGTGCTGGGATCTGAACTCAGTCCTTACGCTTTCCCAGCAAGCATTTTACCCACTGAATCACTTCCTAATCCTATCAAGGAATCTTTAAAAAGACATGTTTATAGAAATACCTAGTATTCATAATTGTTAGGCTGTATCTGAGAAACTGGTTTATATTCCTTACTTTTTTTCTAAGCCAGTGTGTCAGGTTACTTTCCTTTTTAAAAGATGTATTATTTTTAATATGTGTACATGTGTGTGTCTGTGTGTAGGTATGTGCATGTGAGTGCAGGTAACTGCAGAGGCCAGAGGCATCAGGTCCCTCTGGAGCTAGGGTTACAGGCAGTTGTGACCCACCCTGCATGAGTGCTGGGAACCAAACTTGGGTCCTTTGGAAGACCAGTATTCTGGTGCTGCTCCCCTCCCCCTTACACTTACTTTCTCTTTTGATGTTGTTTTCTTTTTCTTTCTTTCTCTCTCTCTCTTTTTTTTTTTTTGAGGCAAGCCTCCCCATAGTCTCAGATGGCCTGTGATTAAAGGCATGTGCTACATGCCCAGCCCCATGACTTTCCTAAGGACTGAAAAGCTGGCATTGACTCTGGGCCACTGTCTGATTCTCAAACGTACATTATTATTCAAATGCTGTCACTGAAAGAGAACCTGATCATGTTAGAGTCTTAAGAATCCAAGTGAAAGGAAAACCTTCTTCTCCTGGGTTTACTCTTGGGAGAGGGGAGCCTTTGTCCTAAATTTGGATATCCAGCCCCTGCCATGGACTTCCTCTTAATTGTTTTTATGGCATTTGCTCAGATGTGACACTGGGGACCTGAGTGGACTGTTAGCAGTGTTGCTCTATCACTGTTCCAGAGGGAAACTAAGCCTGTGCTACTGACAGGAGCCATCAGCTCTAATGTATCTGTGCATCAGAAATATCTTCACACTTTCATACATGGAATGTGCCACTGTGTTATAGAAATGGAGCAATAACGAACAGAGCTGTATTTATTTAGACCTAGAGGCCCAGAGCACCCATGAAGCTGTGTTAAAAATGGTTCCACTTCAGGCACATTGACCTCTGCTTTGTGATGGTTCCTCTATTTTTTTTTTTCTTTTCCTTTTTTGGTAGTACTGAGGTTGGAACCCAAGGAGTCACACTTGCTAGCCAACTGCTCTACCATTAACTACATACCCAACGTCCCTATTTTGAGTTTGAGAAATGTCAAATAAACTTAGGAAAATTACTTTAAGAAATAGCTGATGTAATAGGAAGCATATACTTTAAAAATTCAGATGCACCTATTGACAAATGATATTGTCTAGGGGAGAGGGCACCCATTGGAGGTCAGCTTGTCAGGCATGCACCTACATGGCTGGCGAGAGCACAGTGGTAGCTTCCGTATCAGAAGCCTTTTGTACTTTAAATGGACGGCTATTCTTCCCCAGTGTCTGCTGCTGTTGCAGGGGCACTTAAAGCCTTCCCTTTTAACATAGGCATTCTTTAAGTATATTGTAGTTCAAATGCATCTTCTTTCAGGTGTGTAAAGATGTGGAAGGCAGGTCCTTTGCTAAGCTGATTGCTCCTTCACCGCATATCCCTGAAGAGAGGAACTGAGGGATAGGATTACAGTTTAAAGCCACTTCAAGACACTTTATGATGATGGTAGACTTGTTCTGTTAATTTAAAGTTGGTGTAATATGATATGCCAAGGACTCCTCTTCCTGGTCACTTTAGAAAGGATAGCATATGGTATTCTAAGATTTATGACTAAAAGCCTTCTTTTCTCTGTAGGGTCAAAGTGCTTAACTTTGCTGGTTGAAATATACCCTGTCAACAATGTGAAGGTTCTAAAAGCGGTGGATAGCTGTATTTGGGTACAGGTAAGCTTGTCATCTATCACTTGTCTCACTAATCAAAAGGTGTGAAACCTATGGAGAAAGGTGTTTACAAAATGCCTTCATGTGCATTATCACATTTAATCTTCAAAGCAAAGTTGTAGACCATTAGGCTGGAAGTGCCAGTTCTTCCTTTATAAACATGGAAATTAAGAACGCAGGCCTGGCTGCTTTGACTCTGCCTTACCTGATAACAAGGCAATGTTTTCACAATGTTTAATAATAACAAAATACCAAATATTAAAATACAGATGCAGTAAACTTCTAAACATTTATTTATTTTAAATATTTTATTATATTTATTTTATGTGTATGAGTGTACTGCCTGCATGTATGTATGTAAGTGCACTGTGTTGTGCAGTGCCCAAGGAGGTCAGAAGAGAGTGTTGGATCCCCTGGAACTGGAGTAATAGATGATTGTTAGACACCATGTGGGTGCTGGGAATTGAACCTCGGTCCACTGAAAGAGCAGCCAGTGCTCTTAACTGTTGAGCTCTCTCTCTCCAATCCCTATTTATTTATCTTTATGTATATGTGTATGAGCCTGTGTATTAGCACCACACGTGCAATGCCCGCAGAGGCCAGAAGAGGGTGTTGGGTCCTCTGGAACTGGAGTTACAGGTAGGTGTGAGGTGCCATGTGGGTACTGGGAACCAAAGCTAGGTCCTCTATAAGAGCACTAATGTCTCTTAACTGTTAAGTGGTGTCCCTAGCTCCTGCAGTAAGCTTTTAAATATTTTGTTTCATGAATTCACTTGGTTGACAGACTAATTATGATTAATGACTTAATAAATTCTTGAATTTACCAACACTGTAGGTTATGGAAGCACTTTGTGTATAATGCAGGTGGATTAGTCAGTCTTTATTTGCAGATTCCATACTTGCAAATTCTTGGGCTTACTAAGATTGATATGTAACTCAAAATTAATGCTCATGGCACTTTGCCAGCATTTACAGGCATGTGTTGAGTGATGAAGAGTTGAGTCACCTGGCTCGCACATTCCCAACTGGCTCACACTATAGACAAGTGGTGTTTTCACCATCTAATGCATGGATATTACATCCTGTGTTTTTTTTTTTTTGTTACTTGATTGCTTAAATGACTTCCCAGTGTTGTGCTGAAGTGTTGTCTAGCATTCCTAAGAGTAAGAAGGCTGTGATATGCCTTCCTTAGATAAGCTTCATTCAGGCATGAGTGACAGGACTTTGGGCCATAAGCTCAGTGTTAATGAATCAGTAATATATACGGCATAAGGTATATGTCAACAGAAGCACATGTAAGACAAGCTTATGTATTCATCTGTTGGTAAGAATATGAATAGAGGCTTGCAGGAGCCGAGCCTTATATCTGACCTATGGCCAATTTAGTTTTCAGAATACAGGGTCACTACCACAGATAGTGAGAATTGACTGTACATGGTATGCTACAGCGTAATTTCCCTGTGCTTAATTCATTCTGCTACCTTTTGGTCACCCTGGGGTCAGCAAGTCTCACTCGCATGGTCTACCCCAGCCCCACTGGCTGCAGGCTTCTTTCCGGAGGACTTGGCTTTCCTTAGCTCTGGCCTCTCCACTGTCTGCATCAGCTATGTATTTTCCCTGCCACTCCTATTGCTTCCAGATAGGGCCTGGCCTGGAGCTCACAAGCTGTGTTTCTTTTCCCTTAGAACTTAGTTTATTTGCACTGTTGCCAGAGCAAAGGTGACCATGAGACAGATCACACTTCCCTTTTCTGGCTTATTTTTGGATTGCTTCAGGATCCCCACCCAGGCAGGGTAAATGATGGAGACATTATTAAAGAACTGTGATAAATAAAGGGAATTAGAACATGGGAAAGTTAAGAAATTTTGCAAATATATGGTTGTGCAAAGTTGTGAATAGTGGGGGCTGTAGAGATGACTCAGCAGTTAAGAGCACGGGCTGTTCTTGCAGAGGACCTAGGTTCAGTTCCCAGCACCCATGTGGCAGCTAACAATCATCTCTAACTCCAGTTCCAAGGGATCTGACACCCTCTTCTGACCTCTGTGGGCATTGCATGACATGGGTGCACATACATACATGCAGGCAATACACTCATACACATAAAAATAATAAATAAAATATTTTAAGAAGTTGTGAATAGTTTAAAAGCTACTGAAAATTGGATAAAGTGGTTAATATGGTTAATTTTATGTTATATGAATTTTGTCCTAACTAGAATTACTTAAAAGCACACAACACATGACTGTCTATTGATCAAAGGTAAATGTCTCTACCCAGATAGTAAAGCCTGTGCTCATTCTGTGGGCCCATCTCAGCTCTGGGTCCTGCTCCCTGCTCCTCATGCCCGTGGCTCTAGAGAGAGAACAAGCCACCATATCACATCTTTGCCTTCTGCTCCATCCTTCTCTTTGGCCCAGAGAAGTACCATTCCCCACTCCACTGAGCCTGGTCTTGCCCTGTGCTCTATCTCCTTTTTCTTACTGGTGATCTCCAGTAATGCATTTTCCTAACTGCACTTGCAGACTTGGTCACCCACACCAGAGGAGCTTCAGCAGGAACTTCCTTCACCAGAGGAATGGTGACTTGGATCCTGACCTGGGATCCTTCCAGAGTTCCCACCTGCCTGAGGCACATCTCCATACACTCCTGCCATGTCCACACACACGCTCCCAATAACAGATATGAATGCTCACAGACTTGCTCCGTATCTGTGAAGACAGTGTTTCCTAAATATACATGACATCTGTATAGATTCTTTTTCTGTGTGTACTCTAAAAATTGTTTAATACTGTTTGAAGACAGACTGAAGTAACATACATATTACTTATTTTTAAAAATATTAAATAGGTTATAACTTCCTCTATATTTTGCTTATTTTTACAGAGAAATCTTTGAGGCAAAACAAAATATGGTTTAACTTTCCTTAAATTCTGAGAAAAATGATATTTTTAGTAATCTGATAAATGATCTTCTTGATCAAAATGAATAAATTACCTTAATTCTTTTGTGGAGATTCATATTTAAAATGATTTAGAATACAAAAGAACCACCTTGAGTTAAGAGCTGTATTTGAAAATTGTATTTTAACTTTCATGCCTTGCTCTAGGCCACCTCATAGTAGAAAGACCAGGACCACCTACATGGGTCTTCTAAAATCACCTTCCTACTGGTTACCATATAAAGACTACGCTGAGGCTTAGAGATTGGCAATCATGGCTCTTGAATACCTCACATTCCTAAGCAGGTACAGCACCTCTGTAGGCTCATGAACAATCTTTCTCCTCTCTTTCCTTCTTCCCTCCCTCCCTCCCTCCCTCTGTAAGCTCATGCACAATCTTTCTCCTCTTTCGTTCCTTCCTTCCTTCCTTCCTTCGTTCCTTCCTTCCTTCCTTCCTTCCTTCCTTCCTTCCTTCCTTCCTTCAATTTTCAAAATAGGGTTTCACTATGTAGCCCTGGCTGGTGTAGAACTTACTTTGTAGACCAGGCTGGCCTCAAATTCAGAGATCTGCCTGTCTCTACCTCACAAGTGTTGGGATTAAAGGCATGCATCACCATGCCTGGTATATTTTTCTTTTTTAAGCTCAAAGACAATTTTATTAGAGTTTAAATGAAAAACACCTAGGGCAGGCAAACTTTATATGTCAGAATTCTTCCAAAGTAATTGAGGAGAGAAAGAAAAAAAGCCATGCCACTTGAGGTAAATCTGCATGGAGTCAGCCACATGGCTGGGGGTAGGAGCTTTAGAGAGACACCCAAAGTGTTAGAGAAAGCACACTTTAAAAAGAGATATAAGGGGGCTGGAGAGATGGCTCAGCAGTTAAGCACACTGGTTGTTCTTGCAAAAGACCCGGGTTCGAATCCCAGCACCCACATAGCAGCTAACAACTGTCTGTAACTCCAATTACAGGTGATCTGATGGCCTCTTCTGTCCTCCATGGGCATTGTGCAACACAGTTGCATTTATCTACATGCAGGCAATACACATATATACATAAAATAAAACAAATGAAATATTTTAGAAAAGAGAGATCAAGGAGAAAAGGAAAAGTTATACTTTTCTGAGTACTTCAGAAAAGTGAACACACTTACAAAGCTGTACATCCATAGATCTATAAGAGACTGTACTAAGAGGTGGGAATTCTGGAGAGGAAAAGTGCATTATTTTATTAAAGGGATAATTATTTCACCTACCTCTGTAGAATTATTTAAAGAGAGCCTTCCAAACTTTGTATCCAAATTCTATATTGCTATTTATTATATAATTTTAAGGTTATTGCTGAGAATGTTATATAGTTAGTGGTTTGCTTTTTACTTCTAAAAGGGGCATTTAACAATAATTCCCTAAAGAAATTAACCTATTACACTTCTGATCTCTTAAAGACACCAATAATAATGTGGCCAATGTCTGTAAAATTGAGCCGCAAAAGGTTATGTGCCTTTGTAATGTTTTAAAGATTTTATTTTTTGGCTGGTTGAGAACAAAATTCATTGATAGTCTTTCTAAAAGTTACCATTCATGCCATAAAATGAAATGGCTTGCCGTCACCTTGTTGATGATGAAAGAATTAAGCCTTTGGCATCATTTTAAGACAGTTTTCCTTCATTTTCACTGTGGACGGGGTCAGGCTTAGTGGTGCTGCCTTCCTGCCCTGTCCTGTGGGCAGATACACAGTGGGGAACTTAGGGGAGGAGTATGGTGCATTAAGCCTTTATTTCCCAGGGGCAGCTAGCCCAACTTTGAGGCATGTAGATCGTTAACCACACACCACATCATGACTTCCTGTCCTTTCTTGGAAAGTCCCTGGTCATTTTGTGCTTTGTCTATTGGCTGTAGGATTTTGGAAATTGTGTCAAAGAGCATGTTTACTTCGTTCTCAAGTTATATACTAGGTTTAGTTGCACAGCAAGTACATTTGCCACACTTCTTCTTATGTGAAATAAAACATACTGTATACATATTTTCTGCACTGTTTCTGACTGACTTCAGAATCAGATATTGCAAAGAGGAAGCACCATGCGTAGAAACAGCCGCCTTCTTTGTGTATGCTCAAAGGAATGGGGATAGTGTCTTACCTAGGCCAACCTCCCCCTAGAAAACTGAGGGCCTGGAAACTTCCTTCTTTTATTTGCTTGACCTTTGATGTGTGTGCATGTGATTCCCCTAAAGTATTCCGTGGTTTCCAGTTCCTTGCATCATATGTAGCAGTAACAATGATCAAACACAATCTTGAAGTATCTGTAAAAGCAAGGGAGTTGCTTATGATTTTTATTAATTTCCTTTCTACAGTTCCTCTACCCATATGCTGAAAGTCAACCCCTTCCACAGAACCACCTGTTACTGATTTCAGAAGAGAAATGTAAGTGTATTTTTAGGCAATACATAGGGTGTATGGTGTGCAGAACTCCTAATGAAATGTGCAGCATGACTGAAATCGATAGATAGCTTTGGCATTGCCAGAGTTCTACTTATTGGATATGACTTTGAGGCCTAGAATTCCCAGGGAAGCTGTTCTTTTCCCCAGCTATTGTTCCCTCAACCTATATTCAGTTTCTTTATCTTGGGAATGAGAGCTTCTTGTGTACATAGATGTCCACTTCTGCCAACCTGCAGAGTGTTTGTCGCACAGTTAAACTGGTTAGTTTTTGCCTTCTTAAAATGTCTGTCAGAGTGGGTAACTGTGATGCAGGAGAGGGGTTTGGATGGAGAGAAGAAAGGAGGGATTTGGTAGCTAGATGAATTCCAGGGCAGATCTGAAGGCACACCTTACCATGACCAAATTCAAGTGGAAGCAAATGAGATTGTGAGTTAAGAGGGTTTATCCTTTCATGATATTTTCCAAATTTGGAAAGAAGTAAGGACAAAGTCTACTGGAACTTACTAGCAAGCAACCTTTCATGTTACAAAATGAAACTGTGGGATGATTTATGGTTGGAAGGATACACTTGGGTTAGATTTGTGTTTAGTCCCCATGCTTTGATCTAATTTTTTATACCACAGTTTTTGTAATTAGAACTAGCAAAATGTGTGACTAAATCTAGATTGTCACTGATAATGAGGGATGATTTATAAATTGACTTAAAGTGTTTAGGATTTTGATCCCCTATAAAAATGCCTCTCCCCAAAACCTTAGGTAATGAGTTATATATGCATATATATATGGTATTTGGAAATTGAATATAAACCCTGCTGAATGGGTTCTTCCTAGCCCTATACAAGACTGATGACAGAGGGAGACAAACACTTGTTGAAGGAAGAAAGGGAACAGAAGGGCCGAATGTTTCATGTATTATAATAGTAAAGAGCAGAGTAAATGTGGACCTTGAAATAGACTGTCAAGAGGGAGAGGAAAGTGGGCTTGGGTGTGTGTGTCTTGTGAGAGTACCATGTTTGAGAATACTGTTTGGTAGCCAGTTTTTTTATTTGTATTGCTTTCATAAAAATTTGTTCATAGCTGTTGGGAAAAGCTATACTGATTTTTTAAAATGAAGGTTAAAATATCCTTTTTGTTTCTTTTTTTGTTAAAAGATATTGAACGATATCATATCCAAATCACCCAAGAAGATGGAAATAGAGTGGTAAAGATTTTAAACTCTTTTTGCTTCAGAGTTCTTTTCTATAAGGAACTACATTTCCAGACTTTCAAGGACAGATGAACTCTATTGATACAAAATATTTTCTTTGATATTTTGTGAATAATAAGCCTTACTGTTATAACATGAGAAACCAAAGAAGAATGTGGAAGAGTTAATTATTCCCCTCCTTTCTACCTCCTCCCAGTCTCTGTCCTGAGGTGATGAGTGACAGGCTGTGGAGTCTCCCCACAGCTTTTGTCTTGCTCATGAAAACCTGCATAAGGTTAGACATGCTCAATTGTTCTCACCAAAATAGAACCATAATGCTTGCATTTACTTGCTGCCATTGTGTTTGCTTTTTTACTTAGTATATCAAGAGGATATAAGTTAGAAAGCCAAATGATAACTAAGTGTATTTTTCTAATTTTTCTGCAAGCACACACACAAGTCTGCTTGGCATTTCTGCTGCAATGTTCTTTCCTGCCTTTGTTCTCATGTCTCTTTATCCTTTTCAGCTGCCTCTCTTTCTCCATATTTATATAATTTCCCATCCCACTCTTGGCATACCCTGGCTTGGTTTATGATCTACTCCTTTGTGGAATTATCTACAAGCCAAATGGAAGATCTCAATTCTTTCTTAAGGATGTGCATGGCAGCTCCTGGCCTGGGGTCCATAATGCTTCGGCCATTCATTCAATTGCCAGGTTTTCTTTCTGCGTTACACATCATCTTCAGTGTTTTTGTCTGTGCCTTTACATAATGGTACATATATTTCTTTGGGGGAAAGTCCTCAGGTTTGGATTATTGGGTTGATGGGTATATGCATTTAATAACTTTCAATGCAGTTCGCTTTTCTATATTTTTCAAGAAACTATAAGAACATCAGTAATAGTGAATTTACTTTTAAAATTTTCAAATTTTATGGTTGCAAATTAATATCTTACTATGTTTTCTTAGCTTGTATTTCTCTTAATGTTTAGCAAGTTTGGGTGCCTTCTCTGTTTACTGGTTATTTAAATTTGTTATTTGGAAAAATTCATTGGTTATATCCTTGTCTATTTTTTCTATTTGGTTATCTTTTCCTTGGTAATTTTTATGAGATCTGAATGTAGTATAGATATTAAAATTATTTTATTCAATGTTTAGTCTATATTTAAAGATTTAAAATTTTCATTTCAGGGATCATTAATATCCTTGGTCAGGATTATTCCAAGATTATTTATTTATTTATTTATTTATTTATTTATTCATTGTGCATGTGTGTGTGCACACAGGCCACAGCATGCAGGTGGATGTCAGAGGATAACTTGCAGGAGTCGATTCTCTCCTACCATGTGGGTTTTAGGAATCAAACTCAGATTGTAAGGCCTGGCAGCAGGTGCCTTTACCTGCCCACCCTCAAAATAATCTTCCTCTGACAGTTTTGAAGTTTCTCTGAAGACTTTAAAATTATAGGAACAAAATTGAAATGGGAAATGACGTTTACTATGTATCTCATATTGAAAGCCTCAGATCGAAAGGGTGGACTGAAAAATGGCCAGGACTGTCTGGGTAGAACTCTGGGCTGCTGGTAGCCTCCAGTGGAGGGGCAGAGTCAGAAGAATGTCAAGACAAGAAAGAGCAAGGCTGAGAAATTGGAGGAGAGTAGTAAAGTAAGTTGAGGTGGGGGACTGAGAATACACAGAAACTGAGGAATGGGTTGGAAAAAGATTTGGTAGTCAAGACATGCTGTAGGGAGAGTGACAGAAAGGGTCCTTGTCACCTGCCAGAAGAATTCCTGCTGGCCAAGATGGCATAGCTTTAGCATTTCTTATTCACTGACACTCTTTCAGGGATATCCTGCCCACATTCTTAAAGGCTTTGTTAGCAGAGTTTTAAAACATTATGGAATTCCACATCTTCATCACAACATCCTTACATAACAGGTGGTATTATAACTCCATTTAAAATTTTTTTTGTTTTATTTTTATCTTATGTATGTGTGTATTGCGGACATGTATGCAAGTGCACCTGTATCACGCAATGCCCACAGAGGACAGAAGAGGACGTTGGATCTCCTGGAACTGGACAATTGTTAACCACCATGTGGGAGCTGGGATTCGAACCCAGGTCTTCTGCAAGAATAGTCAGTGCTCTTAACTACTGAGCCATCTCTCTACATCTCTCCAGCCCCATATAGCTCCATTTTTGTTGTTGTTGCTGTTGTTGTTTGTTTGTTTGCTTGTTTGTTTGTTTTTTTAAAACAGAGAAGTGAGGTCACTAGAGAGGGACAAAATGGAGATTCTAGCCCAGGCATGCTGGAATCTGATGCTCATCTCGTTAGCATATTGCTTTGGCTGAAGAGATTCCCAAGCCCACCCCAACCTAACAAAATTAGGATTTAGAAGATTAGAGAGAGGTGCCCTTGGATCTTTAGCATCACCTTCCATGGCCTAAATAATGGATCCAGGCAAGCAAAAAACAGAGACATGCAAGTCCTTATGCTTTGAGTTTCCCTCATTTACACTGGAGAAGAAATCCCTTTAAGGGTTAGAGTTCTGGCAAGGCTGTGGACCACCCTGCTGTTCCCTTTTCTCCTCATTTCTTTTGCTTCAATCTATCTTCATTCCTTACCCAGCTATCTCAGTGTAGGGGGGTTTTGTTTCATGTTTTTGCTTAGCAAGCATTCTGAGGAGAGTGAACTGAACCTGGAATCTCACATGCTAAGCATATGCTCAGCCACTGAGCTCTGTCCCTTGCCCTTGGAAAGTGAACTAGCTTTTTTCCATTTTCACAGGTCTCATTTTGTATCCCAGTGTGGCCTAGAACTTGTTGTAATCCTCCTGCTCCAGCCTCCTGAGAGCTGGCAGTACAGGTTTGAGCCATCATACCCAGCTTTGGAAAGTGCATTCCGTGTGTGTGTGTGTGTGTGTGTGTGTGTGTGTGTGTGTGTATGGAGGTCAAAAGTCAACTGTGGGTGTGATTCTTCAGGTGCTGTCCACCTTGGTTTTTGGAGACAGGGTCTCTCACTGGCTTGAGGCTTGCTGATTAGGCTGGGCTGACCAGCCAGCTAGTCCCAAGAATTCGCCCGTCTCTGGCTCCCCAGTGCTGGAATTAACAAGTAGAAGAAATTTTTTTTTTTTTGGTCTTTTTGAGACAGGGTCTCCCTGTGGCCCCAGCTGGCCTGGATTCACTATGGAGACCAGACTGGCCTTGAACTCCTAGAGATCCACCTGCCTCTGCCTCCTGAATGCTGAGATTAAAGGCGGGACCTCGTCCAACAGAAGACACTTTTTTATGTGGGCTCCAGGGATCAAACTTATGTCCTCATGCTGGCAAGATAAGCACTTTACCAACTGAGCCATCTCCCACTCCTCTGGAAAATGAATTCTTTTCTTAAAAATATTTTATTTATTAATTTTATTTTAAGTGTATGAGTGTATTGCCTGCGTGTATGTAAGTGCACCCCATATTGTGTAATACCCACAGAGGTCTGAAGAGAGTGTCAGATTTCCTGGAACTGAGTTATGGAGGTTTTTGCCACCATGTGGGTGCTGAAAACCAAACCTGGGTCCTCTGCAACAGCAGCCAATACTCTGAACTGCTGAACCATCTCTCCAACCCTGAAAATGAATTCTTTTTTTAAAAAAATTTTATTTATTTAAAAAATTTTTATGTGTATGTGTGTATTGCCTGCATGTAGGTAAGTGCACCTGTGTCATGCAATGCCCGCAGAGGTCAGATGAGGCTGTCAGATCCTCTGGAATTGGAATTACGGACAGTTGTTAGCTGCCATGTGGGTGCTGGGATTCGAACCTGGGTCTTCTGCAAGAACAACCAGTGTTCTTAACTGCTGACATGTAAAATATACTTAATATTTTCTTATTTCATCTTCTTTCATTTCAAGAAGCTTTCCTTGGGTATAGTAAATGTTGGAAACACTCAAGACAAGGGAAAGCAGACGTTCTGTAGAAGAGCACACGCTCACTGGGGGAAGAGCACAGTGTTAACTAAGACTTAACTGTCATAGAAACATGCCAAAGCACCATAGGAATATGGAGGCTAGGAGCTTTGCCTTTGTATTGGGGTTCTGAAGTGAAGCTTTGTCTGGGAGGCAAAACCTAAGTCGCATCTTAAAGGAGGAGAGTTAAGTGTTGCTGATGGATGGGCAATGGCATCATAGGCATAAAGGTAAGGACCATGCCCAAAGCCACAAGCTGGTGAATGGCACAACTGGGCCATCCAAGTACTCTTTTTAATTCAGGCCTTAGTGTTTCCCTGGTTATTATAAGCCTCTGTCTTTGGTGGAGAAGGCTTCTGTCCACAGAGGCCTGACTGAGGGGTTTTGTCTACAATAGGAAGTTATGAATCTTCTATTAATATAACTCTTGATTTGTGGTAGGTGTGGTCTTGCCTTTGCCAACATGCTTGTTAAGCAAGGAAGAAGAATAAAACAGCATAAGTGTGTTTGGGAGTTTTTATGAGAAGACTATATGTTCTGGTGTGGGAAATCTGCTAATAAAGCAGGACTATCTATAGGTATCATAGGAATAGGATACGCAAAATAGTGATTTGAGATGTTCTTTAAAATATTTTCTTATCAAATCCTTTTGCTTCTAGGTAATTAAAAACTCTGGTCATCTCCCAAGAGACAGAATAGCAGAGGATTTTGTTTGGGCACAGTGGGATATGTCAGAGCAGAGATTATACTACATTGACATAAAGGTAAAAATTGTTATAGAAACAATTTCTTTTTTGTCTTTTTGAGACAGGGTCTCCATGTAGCCCCAGATGGCCTGGAACTTGCTATGTAGATTAGGCTGGCCTCGAACTCACAAAGATCCACCTGCTTCTGTCTCCCAAGTGCTGGGATTAAAGGCGTGCACCACCATGCCTGGCCATAGAAACAATTTAATTTTGACATTATCATTGTTTTCATGTGCTAATCACCACATTTTCATTAATGGGAACAGACAATGAAGGTTTATTCAAAACAATGAACAGGTTTTTATTAATGCTTTTTGACCCATTCTTTTTCTCTTCGACTTTTTTTTTGAGATAATTTGTCAAGTCTTTTCTCTTCTAGAAATCAACAAGTATCTTGAAATGCATCCAGTTTTGTGCTGATGAGAGCTTTAACTTAATGGTAAGTCAATTGAGTGCTCAGCTCCAGGAAATTTTGCTAGAGTTAAGCAGAATTTTTGGCATTTTGATGATGTGTTAGTCACTTGCATGATCAAATAACTTGACTGTTGCTGTCCCAGGACTTCCACTCTCTAACAAATGCACAGTTGATAAAAATTAAGAGAAGAGCACACATAGGAGAGTGTCTCATTTTAGAGCAACAGCTCTAGGAGGGGCTTAGGAGAAGGCAACAGGTATGATCTAGAGTAGCTTGCATTAACTGCTTTCAAGTTATTTGACTCAAAAGGAATTGGATATGATGGGTTTGAAGATAAGGGAAGAAGCCAGCAGGAGAGCATAATTTAATTAGTAAGCATATAGCATTCCTCTTGGAAAGGCTGCTGGGGTAGTCTTATGGTAAGGCATTACTTATGTCTTTATCTGTGATGCACAGTATTTCCTTCTTGATTAGCGCTAATATTGGTATCAAGTGCATATTGGTTTCATACCATTACAATCCTTACTTGGTCCTTCCTGCCATATTTTTGGCTCACCCATTCCTAAAGATACCCGAAGCTTCCTTCCTTATATAGCTGTGTCTTATAAAGGGCTGTGGCTCTCAATCATCCTATTATACAACTTATGATATTCAAATTTAAGGCAGAGTTTGCCGGGTTTTAGCTTTTCATGAAGGAAGCATATATTTTACTTGTATGTAAACTCCAGGATATTTCCAGTGGACCTCTGGATTGTGGATCTTGGGCCTACTGTCTGGAGATAATGAAGGTTAAATGGAGTCTTTAGTACTAGGCAAGCCTAGCACTGGCAGCTTGCTCTGTATTTCTAAACTGTCATCATGCAATGTCATTTTTTTTTTTTAGCTCATTTCCTCCTCCTTTTTTTTCTTGACAGTTTGAAATATCCTTGGACATAACATTAAGTGACTCAGGATTTAAGTAAGTTATTCATAGATTGTCAACTTTTATAGACATATGTAGGTAGCAAAATGATTATGTTTATTCCTAATTTGTGGTATGCAGATACAGGAATGGTCTGACATTTTGTGCATCTATTTTAATATTCCTGTTCTTTACAGGGCATATAAACTAATTTATCAAGTGTGAACACAGGATTTCATGTGTAAATTTGAATGTGTTCTTAGCCATTTACTTCCAGAAAGCACCTGTGTTTATTTGGATGTATGGAAGTGCTCTCCTCTCTGTGACTAAATAAAAAGATTTCATGAGCCAGAATGAGCTGCATTTTGAATCAAACACCAATGACCCTTTTCTTGTTGCCCACAAGAAATCATAGGTTAGCCCACTTGCTGCTCAGTCAAGTCTGTTGCTTTATTTTTTCTGTTTTCTTTTTTACACAGAGGCAAGTTTTTCCTTTTCCAGCGATTTATGTGTAGTAAAAAGATAAGACATTTAAAAAAAAAAAAAGGGCATCAAAGGAAAAAAGAAAAGAAAGGCATATTAAATTAGTAATGATAGTCCTAAGCTATGGTATATTTTCCTAGCTTTACTTCATCACATATGAAAATTTAATAGTGCCTATTTTGAAACATAGTCTTTGTTTCAGAAAATGTTTACTATAAATCACAAAATTATGAAAAAATTTAAGTTGTAAGTAATATATGCCTTCTCTATTGCCAGGCACATACTCTTTATGTAACAATACTTTGTTTTTAAGTTTTATTTTTTGAGATAGGATCTCACTATGTAGGTCTGGCTGACCTGGAACTTGCTATGTACATCAGGTTGGCCTCAAACTCACAGAGATTCCCTGTTTCTGTCTCCTAAGTGCTGGGATTAAAGGTGTGTGCCACTGTGCCTGGCTTGTACCGTGTACTTTAAAAAAATTTTTTTATAATAAAGGCTAAACAAAATTAGCAAAAATTCTCAACATTAATTGATCAGGAACATGTCTCTACTTCTGTTTGTGTATTATAGTGTCTATATGTGGTGTTACTAAGCTACATTACCATTACACTTGAATAAATAAACAGTCTGACACTCTAAGCAGTGTATTATTTACACTAAACAAATAAACAGCATTAGTTTTAAAACCAAGAGTGGACTCAAACTCTGAGAACCACTTGTTCCGTCAGATGTCACATGAAACTGTGCTCTCAAGACAATCTTTAGTCAGACTTTTATTGAAGCAGTATTTCCAGCATCACATGGGGAAGTAGAGGCTAGAATCCACTCACCAGAGAATCTTGCCCTTTGATCCCTAGCTCTAGAATACCTCACACACAGAGTTTCAGGCAGACTTCTTATTGTTTGCAATGAGAATAGAATACTGCTTCTACCACTTTGATATGTTAATCAAGCACACCCACATTCATTCACTATCTTGGGTACAGGGCAAGGTGGGATACTGAGAAATAAAGGTCAGTGCCTACATCACAAGAGGAACACATGGCTCAGTGAACTTGTTTATATTATAAACAGTAACTTTCTTGGTTGCAAGGTTGCAAGGTTAGATGAAAGTCCTTAGTCCAGAATATGTCAATATTGTGAAAGTCATTACTACAGTTATACCAGTTAGGAGGGAATATATATATATATATTTTTTTCCCATGTATTTTAAGAGGGAATATATTTTTAAGTGCATTCATCAATTTCTTTCCCTTTGTTCTTAGACTTGTCAACTTTGGATGTGATACTTGTCAGGGCCAAGAGAAGTTTGGCAATCATCAACCGTCTCTGTGTGTTTTTACCAATCACACAGGTAAAAACCAGGGTTGTACTTAGGAAATTTTATCAACTCACCTGTACTGAGTTCTATATAAAAGTTAGATATTATTTAACCATATGAATCCTGAAAATGAAATATAACAGTCACATTATTATGTAGATTATCAGGTAAATATCTATATGTATGTTTATATGCCAAATTATCTTCTTTATTATAATTTTACTCTTTTGGTACTAAGGAAGAAACCTAGAGCCTTGTGCATGCTACTACTGGGATATGTATTCTACTACTGAGTGACACTTCTATCCTTCCACTATAACTGTATACATATATGTATGAAAGAAGCCACCATCCACAGGGTTATTTTTTTCATAGGTATTGCTGGTATTGCTTTAATAGAGTGAGTGTATTCATATTTAATCAATCCACATTTTCTCATAGGGATTAAATGCTTTGTTTGTTAGCTTTACTGATGGGTTCTAATGTTTAATTTTTTTTTACATTTTTATGTGTATGTTTTTGAGTGTGGGTGCATGTATACCACAGCATATGTGTGTGTATATGTGTGTTGTGTGTGCATGTGGAGGTCAGAGGACAACTTATGGGAGTTGATTCTCTCATTCCACCTCGTAGGTTCCAGGAATCAAGTCAAGGTCAGGTCATCAGGCTTGGGCAACAAGAGCCTTTACCCGCTGAGCCATCTCACTAACCTGTGTTTTGGTTCTAAACCCCCGTGCCTGACTTTAAATGTTATGTGACAGTTGCTATTCTAGTAATCTGATCTTGACCTACACCTGTTTATGTAGAGAGACTGGAGAGGGAGGGAAAAATATCTAAAAATGAAAGAAGAAAATGTGATTATATGTTATGAATCTGGTACTGACCATCAGACTCAATAGGCATCTAAGTCAACTCTAAAAACAAAGTATAAAAGCCATTTTAATATCTCAACTTGAGTAGATATTTACTACTTGAGTTGTATATCATTCATTAAAATCACATTTTTCTTGTAAATATGCCAACTATTAAAGTCAAAATATGTGATATTCATACATTAAGCCAACATTTATTGAGCATTTACTGTGTACTAAGTTTTTTAAAGAATGTTATTTTTCATTTTGTGTATATATGTGTGTCTGTGGGGGGGGGTATATGCACTTGGTGCAGGTGCCTGCAGAATCCAGAAAAGGGTGTCAGATCCTGGAGCTGGAGTTTCAAGAGGTTGTGAACCATTTGATATGTGTGCTGGGAACTGAACTTGAATCCTCCGCAGGAATAGAATGTACTCTTAACTGATGAGCTGTCTCTCCAACCCCCTGTACTGAGACTTTGGGACACAAGGATGAGCAAAAGTGACCTGACCTTTAATAGAGGTTACTGTTGGTGAAGATTTTGGATATTCCTTAAGTGTATACATGAAATTCCAGTAGAACCATGAAAAGCATTATGAATGAGAATTACAGGAAGCTCTGAGAGCATGTGTTGGATCGTTAATAGACATTAGTACTGCCTTCCAATATAGTCTGGCTTAACAAGTCCCTTTCCAGTTTCTGTTTTCTCCAAGTCCACCCAGCCCATTCTTCTTTAGTCTTGAAAATTACTCTTTCTTTTACCATAGTCCTTCATAATCCATCCCAATGTTTTTCCTATCCATCTCAGGTCTCCCTAAGCTATACAAGTCCCTCTAGCAACAGTCCCCAGAAAGTCAAAGAATGTGATAGTTAAGGTGGAAGATGTGTATGGACCAAACCACTATAATTGGGGTAGAGAGAGAACTGAGAAAGAAAAGTGGAGATGTAGGCAGGGTTGGGCTAAGTAGGACTGTGTAGATCATAGAAAGATTTTAGCTTTTATTCTAAGACTTAAGAAAAGTCCTTGAAGATTTTTTTTAATCACAGTTATTTTCCAAGTATATCAAATAATTAAAAATATAGTGAATACCTGTATGCCTTTTGCTTAATCATACAATCTACAGTATTTTTCTCATCCTTTCTATATATTGGTACAATTTTCTTCTTTTGACTCAATCATTTAAAAATAAATTATAGCTGAATGTAGTGTCACACACCTGTAATCGCAGCACTAAGAGGCTGGGGCATAAGGATCATGAGTTTGAAGTCAGTTTGAGTTTGAAGTCAGTTTGAGCTACATAGTGAGACCCTGTCTCAAAAACCAAAAAGAAAAGGTGAATTTCAGACATCAGAACATTTTTCTACTAAATAACTTTGCATGCATCTCTTTAGATACTCTTTCAAATAACCTCTGTTCCATTATTTCTAAAAGAAATTAATTACATTAATCAACAAACTTTATTTCATATTCAGATTTCCATAACTGTTTTTATTTAATTTATTATTATTTTATATGTATGAGTGTATTGTCTGTGTATATGTAAGTGTACCCGTGCCATGCAATGCCTGCGAGGTCAGAAAAAGGCATCAGATGCCCTGGAACTGGAGTTATGGGTGCTTGTTAGCCACGATGTGGATGCTGGGAACCGAACCCAGGTCCTCTGCAAGAGCAGCCAGTGCTCTTAACTGCTGTCACCTCTCCAGCCCCCTTTCTCACAACTTTGATCATGTGTTTCAGGCAATGAAGGTTTGAACTACAGTGGGAGAGAGCTAGGTGTGTATGAGATGCATTTTGAAGATGAAAAGGAGAAACCTTGCTATAATTGGGGGGAGAAGAAATGTTCTCAGGTGACAAACTATCCCGTAACTTGCATTGGCAAGCAGGTGAACAGTGGTGCCATTTACAGAGGTATAGGCACTTTGATAAAGTGCCTCTTAGATATGTTATCTAAGAGATGTGGAGCATAGAAGATGGGTCAGGACTGATGATGAGTACATGTGGAATTTTCAGAATGCAGCTGGCATTTGAAACCAGGGAAAGAGTATGGGATCCAAAGGAAGATGCTTAGGAATAAGATCTGGGAGCCCAAGTGTTAGGAAGAGCATCCAGGTAAAGGACAAAGGAATGTTGAGTTGGTGAGAATAATGGAAAATCAAACAAGGATGACAGTATAAAAGCCAAAAAGAGAGGACTCACCCAGGAGAGGGGCCAACAGTGTGAGAAGTGGAATTCATGGGGCCTGGCAGCAGGGAAGGTGCTGTGAGCTATCTGTGTTGGGTGACTGAGGTGAGATCTTGATTGTGCTTGAGCTGAAGAGCACGCGGAAGTTCAAGAAGTCAGAAGCATGTAGAGATGTGAGAGAGGCAGCAGCGGAAGTAGATATGGGATTTAGGGATTACTATTATTTTTGTTGTAAATATTTCAATTATTTATTTTATTTTATGTGTTTGAGTGTATTGCCTGCATGTAGGTAGGTGCATCCATGTTGGGCAGTGCCTGCAGAGGTCAGAAGAGGGTATTGGATCCCCTGGAACTGGACTTACTGGATGGTTGTTAGCCACCATGTGGGTGTTGGTCCTCTGCAAGAACAGTCAGTGCTCTCCAGCCCCAGGATTATTATTTAAGAGGCTAGTAACTCCAGGTTTTTTTAATGCTTCCAGGATTATTTAGTAAAGGGGGCAGTGCTCAGCAGAGAGGGATAACTGGCAGAGTGAATTGTTTTAAAAGATAGGGTGCACGGAGCTCTAGGGCTCCTATGGCTCAGCCAGGGTAGGCTCTTCCCTGGTATTTTGCTTTAAGTCTGTTGGATATAAGCAATGATTTTAGGCTTGAATTCCATGTGGTTTTTCCTTTTCATTTTGTTCCCAGGGGAACTTGTTATGAACAGTAGTGACCATAGCTTATGAAAGGGCTACTTATAGCATATTTAATAAAATGTTGGCTTCATCTGGCATGAGATGTGAAAGATCTGAAAGAGATGTGGCATTGTTCCTTCCTCAACGATGTCTAAGAGGGTAGAAAATGAGCCTCGTTCTTCATAATCAGTTTTGGAATAAGAGAAGTAAGCCTGTTTCAAATGAGATACTTCCAGATTTAAAATAAAATAAGCAAGAGAAACAGTATTTTTGAGTAATAAGTTGCTTAGTTCCCATATTTCCTAAATGTAAGTTTTAAAGATGATTTCTTACTTCTATGGTTAAAACAAAAAAGATTGTGATGGCCATAGGCAGATTAGTAAAATGATTCGCCTTTTAGGCCAGTGTAAAAAGAAAACAGGTTTATTTGGTGCACTGCCAATGGAGCAGCGAGCTTGGCACAAATAGGACCGCTTGCACGTGGTGGTGGGCTGCGGGCTCTCCATTTTGGAGGAGCCACCGTTGGCTAAGGTGAGCCACGTAGAGTGTAATTGGTCCCGCGGTTATCACTCTGCAAAGGAGGGTAGCTCTGTGGTCTCGGGTGTTGCACAGAATGTGGTTTTGCCAGGCCATTCTTTTGCTCGCTGTGTGGGCAGAATGGAGCCATGGTATTTCTGTTTGGGGGAGCTTCTGGAGCAAGCTTGTATTGGGGACCATTCCCTTTCTGATCTCTTGGCCATGGCTTTCCCTCCACAGAGATCTAACTCCAGTAAAGCGATATTAGAGAAAAGACCAAAATTGCCTAATCCAAATACAGCGCCTCTAGAATTGTTTGTCTCCACAGGGGCATTGAAAGCAGAAAACATGGCTCATGAAAGGAAGGCTGACAGACTCAGCCTTATGTAAACTCAGTTTATGTCAACCTGGTTCATTAATGACGATAATGTAATGATGCTTGGCATCCACTCGTCATACCTTGGTCATCGGGAGCTACTTTGTCTTTTCAGCATTGCTTTTGTCCTGCTTGAAAGCTTCTTTGTCCTGAGTTTCCCTGCTCTAAGACGTGAAATTGGCTACCTTCTGCTAGATGAAAGGCTAAAATCAGAATGGCAAGTGTGCTCATGGGAGTTGGTGGAGTTCCAAGCATTGGTGTTAGTGCCAGGTCACTTATATACCACTGAAGATATTTTTTCTAATAGGTCTCTTATAATAGGAAGGCAAATATGTCAGAAACTTTCACCATTAAGAAGAAAATATTCTCCTTGCTTCCATGTCTGGTGGTCAGCTGTAACAATGGATAGGCAACTGGGTGCCCAGGCAACGCAC